GATTCAATCGTTAGAAGACTTGTTGAGGGCATGTGTTCTTGAGAAGGGAGGTTCGTGGGATACTTATCTTCCGTTGATAGAGTTCACTTATAATAACAGTTACCATTCTAGTATTGGGATGGCACCTTTTGAAGCGTTGTATGGTCGGAGATGTAGAACTCCGTTATGTTGGCATGAATCTGGTGAAAGTGTAGTGCTTGGACCTGAACTTGTTTGTGAGACTACCGAGAAGGTGAAGTTGATTTGGGAAAAGATGAAAGCTTCACAAAGTAGACAGAAGAGTTATCATGACAAGCGAAGGAAAGATTTAGAATTTCAAGCTGGTGATCATGTGTTTTTGAGAGTTACACCTGTGACTGGTGTTGGGCGAGCATTGAAGTCTAAGAAGCTCACTTCTCGTTTTATTGGACCGTATCAGATTTCAGAGAGAGTGGGGAATGTTGCTTATAGAGTGGCTTTACCGCCTAATCTTTTGAATTTGCATGATGTGCTTCATGTGTCGCAACTTCTTAAGTATATTTCAGATCCATCTCATGTGATTCATATGGACGATGTGCAAGTACGTGATAATCTTACGGTGGAGATGATGCTTGTACGGATCGTAGATCATGAAATGAAGACCCTGAGGGACAAAGAGATTGCCTTGGTTAAAGTGGTTTGGTTAGGAGCTGCAGGAGAAAGCATGACTTGGGAATTGGAGAGTAAGATGCGAGACTCCTATCCTGAATTGTTTGATTGAGGTAAATTTTCGAGGACGAAAATATTCTAAGTGGGGGAGAGTTGTAACGCCCGTAATTTAATTAATTATTTAATTAAATTATTTTTGGAATATTTGTGAAGAAGTGTTATTATAATTGGATTTATTTTATTAAATGGAGAAATAATAATATATTTGAGGTATTATATTATTGGGTGGTGAAATAATATTAGAAGTTAATATTATTTAATGTGGGCCTATAGTGTGTGAGTGGAAGTAATAAGGGGGGTGTAAGTTTGGAGCCCACTAAGGAATAATATAATAATATTAGGTTATTTTATTATTTGTGAGAAAGGAATAGAAGAAGGAAGCAGTAAAAGGAAAAATAAGGATTGTGAAGAACGTGAAGCTGATAGAAATAGAAGGAGACGACAAGAACAAAGATTCAACCCGGAAATTGTAGAGCGACCTTCGATCCAAGGTAAGGGTGGGGTTCTGGCTTTATAATTGGGTTCATGATGTTTGATATATGGGATTAGATGTAACTGCTGTTTGTTCTTGAATCAGATGTGTTATGAATGATGTATGGTGAATATTGATGAATTCTTGATGAATAATGACGTTATCATGTTGTTTGATCGGGGGAGTAATAGAGTATGATGTTAAGTGATGAATTACCATGATTATAATGAGGTTTGTAGGACTGTAATTAGATTCCCGTAGTGAATTACAGTAGAAAATGCAGAAAATTATGCAGGAGGAACCATGATGTGTCGACCTCAAGTTGGATGAGTCGATACATGGGCGATGTTAGACTCAGGATGAGTCGATGCATGCAGGGCTTGCGTCGATACATGTTAGTTGCAAGACTCAGGATGAGTCGATCGGTAAGGTGCATGTGTCGATACATGCTATGATTTGAAGCAGGATGAGTCGATCCATGAGGAGGATGTGTCGACTCATGCTGTGCAGGAGAAGCATTACGCGTCGATCCATAGAGTTTCGTGTCGACCCATACTGACTAATTTTGACAGAATCAATTTTTAAATTGTTGTAACTTGAGTTGTAGGTTGCTGTTTGAGATACCGTTCGAAGCGTTGATTAGATAATGCGATGAACTTTATTCTAGATGATTCAAATGATGATGAAGAGGTGTAATCCCAGTAACCAATCTAATATTTAGAATTAATTCCCGTAGATGAACGTTGTGCTGATTTTTGGACAGATTGATGAATGTGAGATGTTTAGAGGCTGCTGTTAGAATTATGACAGTAGGATTAGTGACATAAACGAAGTAGAACTGCAGAATAACAGTATGGATTACTGTAGTATTAATATACAACTGAGTTATTGGTAAGATGTGGTTATTAAAGTTGTGTTTGATAGTTATGATAAACAAATGACGTTTGATAAATAAGTGATGTTTATTAAATTATTTTGAGATGTTTATGAGATGCTGTAATTGAGATGTTTTGAGATTTTAATGAGATGTTGTTATTTTGAGATGATTGAGATGTTGTTGTTCTGAGATGTTTATGAGATGTTGTTATTCTGAGATGTTTATGAGATGTTGTGTTTTGAGATGATTGAGATGTTGATATTACATTCATGAAGAGTCGCATACATTGCATTTTTGGGATGGAGCTTATGCTCGTTGAGATGGCCTGGATTGGAAAATTTTGAGATGAAAGCTATGCCTTGTTGATGCCTCTATTAATTGGCAGATTTTTGAGATGGGAGTTCTGCTCCAATGGTATCACATGCATTTGCATAGTTTTGAGTCGCATTATATGATTGAGTAATGAAGTGTATTTGATGTTGATGAATGAGTATATATGCTGTAATTATTGTTGATTATGAGATGAGAATTGGTGACATTATTGATCTAATTTAATATATTAATTATCATGCGCTTTATTATATTGTTAGATATCTCACCCCTTCTGTTTGAATGTTGCCCTTATGTTGGTAACGTGCAGGTAATCGAGAGTGAAGGCTGTATACCTTCAATAGTTCAAGTCAGTGTCATTGCTCTGATATGTAATACTCGGGGGAATGAACGCTTGCTGATTTTTGATTGTTGATTTTTAGTTGTTGACTTTTAGATTGAATTATTATTAATTACGAGATGTTTCGAAGTTGCTGTTTCATTTAGAGATGTTATTGAAGAATTCAGCTGCGTAGTTGTTGAATTATTTTATTAAGGATGCTATTTTGATGGTTCATCCGATGTTTTATTATAAGTGTTATATATCTATGATGAATGCAATGATTTTGTTAGAAGAATTTGTGACGTCCCGATTCGTTTGTATGAATGAAATTTTATAACTCTGATTTATCTCTCATAATTTGCTTGGGGTAGAATTGGGGTGTTACAACATGCCTTGTATGTGAAGAAGAAAAAAGAGAAAATATTGCTTGTTTCTCTCTATGTTGATGAGTTGATTTTCTTGGGCAACAACAATCAGATGATCGAAGAGTTCAAAGGCACAATGACACAAGAATTTGAGATGACTGACTTAGGCCTGATGAAATACTTTCTTGGTCTGGAGGTTCAACAAGAAGAAACAAGAATCTTCATCTCACAAGAAAAGTATGCAAAAGACATTCTGAAAAGATTTAAGATGGATAGCTGCAATCCCATTTCGACACCAATGAAGTCAGGAGCAAAGCTTTTGAAATTTGATGGGGGAGAGCGTGTCGAAGCAAACAAATTTTGAAGTTTGGTGGGAAGTCTTCGATACCTCACATGCACAAGACCAGATCTTTCGCTGAGTGTTGGAATTGTGAGTCGTTTCATGGAAGAATCAGTTGTTGCACACTGGAAAGCCCTGAAGAGAATCCTTCGATATGTCCAAGGAACTGTGTCACTTGGAATGTTCTATTCGAAAGCAGAAGAATACAAGGTAACTGGCTACTTTATAGCGATTGATGTGGTGACATTGATGATCGAAAGAGCACTTCAGGATATGTATTCTTCATGGGAAACATTGCTTTCACCTGGATGTCAATAAAGCAACCCATTGTAACTCTTTCGACCTATGAAGTAGAGTATGTAGCAGCATCCTGGTGTGTGTGTCATGCAATATGGCTGAGAAGATTGCTCAGCAAGATGGAATCGAAACAGGAAGACGCAACAATAATTCAAGTTGACAATAAATCTGCAATCGAACTGGCGAAGAATCCAGACAACCATGAACGAATTAAGCACATTGATGTTCGATTTCATTTTATTCGAGAACATGTGAAGGATGGAAGCATCGAACTGAAGCATGTTGCAAGCAAAGATCAAGCAGCAGACATCCTTACAAAACCACTCGAAGAAGCTTTTCGACAGAGGCAAGAAAATGCTAGGCATGATGGATTGAAGGAATATTTAAATTTATGGGGGAGTTTTGTTTGTTAAATTCAAATCAGTCTTAAATAAATCAAAAGGCAGATTCCCTTGGACAACGGAATATTTATTTTTTAAAGAACTAGAAATAATAAATATTGTAACTTTAAATATTCTATCATGTAATTCTATATAAATCACATTGTATCTAATTTTAAATATAAATTAGACAATATATTAAAAAAAAAAAAGTTTATACTCCACTTTCATTCTCTCACGTTGATCGATAATAAATTATTATCTGAAAAAAGTAATATTCTATATCTTGCCATTAATATTCATTACGGTAGTTCTCTTTGAGCACACATTTCATAATGATCCTTTACATCCATGTTTGAGTTAAAAAGAAAGAAAAAGTAGAGGCATATTGATGTCAAAATAATTCCAAATAATTTCCCCCAAAACACTGTAAATATTAAGCTTATAACAACTAAACAGATAGCACAATTTTGCTTCTCTAACAATGTGCTACCTTTGGCGGTCATGTTCTCTGATTGTAACTTCTCTCCATGAACCCACGTTCTTCATCACTGCTATTGAACCCACGTTCTTTATTCCTGCTATCGAACCCACGTTCTCTATTCACAACGCTTTGTTTTGCTAGTTATGCCCTCTTTTGTGTTTTTTAACAATCCTGAGACCAATTCATTCCTCATGAGGCATCTTTTCTGATTGATTGTGTCCACAAGCCCAAATTAATCTTTTATGAAACATTTTCCGATCAACTGCTTCTATGATCAATTTTCTATAATTCAAAATCTTAAAAAAATATATTTTTTTTTTACTTTTGGTTTAATTTTAACCTTTATAAAAATCCTAACCAACACTAGTTCTCTTTACTTACATCTATTCCTAATAAAGCTTTGTCTATGAGAGTACAGAGAATGAGAAGATTTTTCACGTAACAAATTAATGTTCATTATGGCAATTCGCACACATTTCATAATGACCCTTTACATTCATGTTTGTACTGCACACTACACTGTATATTCTACTCTTCAGAAGCATCATTTGACAGCTGTAGTTTGAGTTAAAAAGAAAGAAAAAGTAGAGGCATATTGATGTCAAAATAATTCCAAATAGTTTTCCCCAAAACACTGTAAATATTAAGCTTATGACAACCAAACAGATAGCACAGAACTCAAACTTCTTTTGCTTCTCTAACAGTGCGCTTCCACTGCTACTTTCTTTCTCATGATTTCCTTTGGTGGCCATGTTCTCTGATTGTAATATTACTTTCGGGCTTGAAAAAGACGAACTGTTTAAAGATACAGTCGATAAAGACGATTGAGAGGCTTTGGTTTCTTTTTTATGCGTGGAAAAATTATTCTTGAACCCACCAAAACAAGCAAGGCCGTAAGGATATTTATGAAGAGCTCTTGTATTCTGAAAGACAAAGAGATTAAAAGTTAACAATCAATAACAAGCATCGCAATCTTTTTTGTATATTATCACAAATGAACCAATAATATTCTAAAAGACTTACCAATATGGTTTCCAACACCGCAGCTTTGATCACTTTTAAAACCGTACGTTTTTTATGATGCTGCTCAGGTTTATTCTCCGACCGATGAGCAGCAAGTTTGGATTCGAGCAAGCCATCAATATCAACCACAGGACGAAAACAGTGAGAGAATTTGTTCTTTGAAAAGCTCCTGGTCATGTTTCTGGCTGAATAACTCTAGACAAAAAAAACTTGTTCAAGAGTTACTTAGTGTGTATAAATTCAAGCTAGCGAGAGAGCAACTCAGTTTTTTTTATATGAAGATTTTGTTTTGGGTTTAAGAAGCAAGCAACGATGTTTGGTGTTATAAAGTGTTTGCACGAGAGTTATTCTAACATGGTCACAACACCATATATATATATATATATATATATATATATATATATATATATATATATATATATATATATATATATATATATATATATATATATATATATATATATATATATATATATATATTTCCCAGGCACACACACACAAACTATTAACTTTATCTTTTATTTTCTTAAGTGTTTAAAAAATTAAAATTAATTTGTGTCGGAGAACAAGGAAGATAAAAGACAAAAGAAATATTTACTGATAGCTTCAAAAATAAGGATTTACAATGAATTACAATAACCTATTCCACTAGGCTATTTATACACACAAATTAAATCTAAAATATATCTACTACAAAGATATAAGAAGATCTAAGATTTATATCTTCTATCAAAGATATAAGCAATCTAAAAGATATTCCTAAATATAAACTAATATCTAATTAAATCTAAATTAATTCTAACACCATCCCTTAATTTATATTTATCCAAAACTGACAACACCAATTCCATCCCTTAAACCCAGAAATTGATCAGTTTTGATAGCCTTTGTCAGAACATCTGCCAGTTGCTTTTGAGTGCTACAGTGCACAACCTCTATTATTCCATTCTGAACTTGATTCTTCAGAAAATGATACTTGGTCTCAATATGCTTGCTTCTCCCATGCAACACTGGATTCTTGGCAAGATTGATTGCAGACTTGTTATCAATCATCAGCTTCAGAGGTTTATTTACCTCAATCTTCAGATCTTTCAGCAAGTTCAGAATCCACTCAGCTTGACATGCAGTCAGAGCACCTGCAATATATTCAGCTTCACAGGTTGACAGAACAACAACAGGCTGCTTCTTAGAACACCAAGAAATAAGACCTCCCAGAAATTTTAATAAGTACCCAGAAGTACTTCTTCTGTCAACTCTATCTCCGCACCAATCAGAATCAAAATAGCTCAGAAGTTCTGATTCGATCTTTCTTCCAAACAGAAATAACACTCCATATTTCAGAGTTCCCTTCACATACCTCAGAATCCTGACTGCAGCTTGGTAATGAAACCACTTTGGTTTGCTCATAAATCTTCTAACCATTCCAACTGCATAGCAAATATCAGGTCTGGTATTACATAAATATCTTAGAGAACCAACCATCTGTTTGAAGGTTGTAACATCCACATCCTCTCCATCAGAATCAGAATCCAACTTCTGATTCGTATCAGCAGGTGTGATAGCAACCTTGCAATTTTCTAGCTCAAATCTCTTCAGAAGCTCTAGTTCATACTTCATCTGATGTAAAATGATTCCTTTCTCAGAGTATATAAATTCCATCCCTAGAAAGAAACACATTTTTCCAAGATCTGTCATCTCAAACGCATTCATCAGAACTTTCTTGAACTCAGCTATCTCTTATTCAGAACTTCATGTGAGTAATATGTCATCAACATACAAACAGACCATAATCATATTACCTTCTGAAGTATGCTGAACATAAACACCATACTCCATCTCACACTTCTAAAACCCCTGTTCATTGAAAAACGAATCAATCTTCAAGTTCCAATCTCTGGGCGCTTGCTTCAATCCATACAATGCTTTGTGTAATTTGAATACCATCCCTTCCTGGTTCTTTTTCTCAAATTTAGGAGGTTGTTAAACGTACACCTCTTCTTATAATGGACCATTCAGAAATACAGATTTTACATCTAAATGCATCAGAGGCCAATTCCTGTTAGCAACTATTGCAATCACTAGTCTGATTGTTTCATGTCTCGCTACAGGTGCAAACACTTCAAAGTAATCCATCCCAGGCTTCTGTAGGAAGCCTCTTGCTACTAATCTCGCTTTGTGTTTGCCAATTGATCCATGTAGCTTTAGCTTCTGCTTGAAAACCCATCTGACGCCGATGGCTTTCTTGCTTTTTGGAAGTTCTGTCAGCTTCCAAGTCTTGTTTCTCTCTATAGCATCAAGTTCTTCTTTCATGGCCTGTAACCAAACTTTGTGCTTAAGAGCCTCTTTTGTACTCATGAGTTCAGAGTCTACTAATATTGCACACTGAATAACTTCTCCTTCAGAGTTTACTTCAGTGTCAAGCAACATGTCAAACTCTACAAATCTTCTTGGGATGCTTCTGACTCTTTGTTGCCTCTGAACCAGACCTTCAGAACTTTGGACACCAGAACTTTCCCCTTCAGAAGCACTTGCTTCAGCAATTGGACTTTCTCCAAAATCTTGACTGTCTTTAGAGTCTGGATCACCATCAGAGTCAGAGTCAGGATCATCTTCTCCTTCTGTATCTTCTTCAGAGTCAGAGTCTTTACTAGCTTCAGAAACATGTATTTCTGACCTTTCTTCAGAAGTTCTGTCATCAGAGTCAGGACGAGACTTTCCCAATTGCAAACTTTTGATTCCTCTATAATGACGTCTCTGCTGAACTCAACTTTGTTAGTTTCTGTACAATAAAGTTTGTACGAACTTGTAGTGTGATATCCCACCAGCAACATCACTTTACTTCTATCATCTAGCTTCTGTCTTCTGCCTTCTAGGACATGTTTGTAACATAAGAACCAAATACCTTCAGATGACTAACACTTTGCTTATCTCCATTCCACTTCTGAATAGGAACTATTTCCTTTAATTTCTTTGTTGGACATCTGTTGAGCACATAACATGCAGTTGCAACAGCTTCTCCCCATAGAGTATGAGGAAGCTTCTTCTCTTTCAGCATGCTTCTCACCATATCTAGCAAAGTATAATTTCTTCTTTCAGCAAGACCATTATGTTGAGGAGTATATGGAGCAGTAACCTCATGCTCAATTCCATTCTCCTCACAGAAACTTCTAAATTCTATGGAGTTATACTCACCACCACCATCAGTTCTAAGAATTTTCAGAGTCTGGCCACTTTGATTCTCAGCCTTCAGTCTGAAATTTTTGAATTCAGCAAACACCTCGTGTTTGAACTTTATGAGAGATACCCATGTCATTATGGTGAACTCATCAACAAATGACACAAAATATTTATTCCCTCCAATCGATGCTACTGGAAATAGACCGCACACATCAGAATGCACTACTCCCAAGGCATGTTTTGCTCTTGGAGCTACTTCTGATGCAAAGGGTAATCTTGGTTGCTTCCCTTCCATGCACACCTTGCATTATTTTTCAGGCTTCTTGATTGTAGGAATTCCATGTACCAGATTCTTTAATTTCAGATGCCCTAAACTTCTGAAATTCAAATGACCAAATCTTATGTGCCACAACTCACTCTCCTTGACAACACTTGTTGCACTAAGACATTCAGAGTCTACAGATCTAACATTCACCTTGAATGTCCTGTTCCTTCCCTGTTCTGACTCCATAATCAGCTTCTGATTACAGTCATACAGCTTCAGAAGATTGTCCTTTATGGTAACTGAAAAATCTTTCTCAACTAGTTGTCCCACACTCATCAGATTGCTTTTCATGCCAGGTAGATACCAAACATTCTAGATCACAACTGCTTTCCCATTGTTTAGAATGATTCTGACATTTCCCATACCTTCTGCATTCAGGTATTTATCATCAGCGCATCTGATCTTTGTACTCTTCCCAGAGTCAAAGTCAACCAACCACTTCTTGTTTCCAGTAAGATGGTTTGAACACCTTGTGTCCATATACCACCATTCTGATGAATTCAAATCATCAGGTTCAGAAGCCAATAATAGCACAGGTTCATCATCGAGTCTCCTCTTGCTATATTTGCTTCTTCTGACTTCTTTTCTTTGTTGGACCAGCAATCTCTGGCATAGTGACCAAAGTTCTTACAACAGTAACACTGAACATTCTTCTTGTTAGACTTCTCTTTTCCCTTCTGGATATTCTTCTGCCTATCAGAGTTTGAAGCTTCTGACTTTTGACCACCATTAGTTTTCTTCCTGGATTCTGACCAAGTCTGCTTCCAATGCTTCTTACCAGAAGTTACCTTCAGAGCCTGCTGCTCTACTTCCCTCTCAGAAGTTCTTGCAGTCATACGCAACTCATGCGCCTCTAGACTATTTTGCAGCTCTTCAACTCTCATGGTACTCAGATCTTTGGAATGTTCAATTGCTACAACAGTGTAATCAAATTGAGAAGTTAAAAATCTCAAGATCTTCTCAATAATTACTTGTTCAGACAAAGTTTCTCCACAAGCTTTCATCTCATTAGTAATCAGAATCATTCTAGAGATGTATTCAGAAACCTTCTCGTTGTCCTTCATGTTGAGATTCTCATATTGCTTTCTGAGAGACTGAAGCTTCACCTTCTTCACTGATGCGTCACAACTGTAACATCTGACCAGTGTGTCCCACGCAGCCTTTGCTGTTTCAGAATCAGCAATCTTCCCAAACACATTCACATCCACACATTGATGGATGTAGAACAACGCTTTCTGATCTTTCTTCCTCAGCGCCTTCTGTGCTATCTTCTGGGCCTCTGTTGCGTCTGCTTCTGACAGATTATAGCCATCAGTGACAAGATCTAACACATCTTGAGAACCAAATAACACGCGCATCTGGATCTTCCAACGATTCCAGTTTTTGCCATCAAATACTGGAAGCTTGGAATGAATATCGCCGTTTCCGTTCATCTTCTACCTTGTGCAATTTACGTAGAAACTCAATGAAAAATCAATGTTTCTCAAATTCCGGAGTTTCTAACCAGGAGCTTTGATACCAATTGTTGGAGCACAAAGAAGATAAAAGACAAAAGGAATATTTATTAATAACTTCAAAAATAAGGATTTACAATGAATTACAATAACCTACTCCACTAGCCTATTTATACACACAAATTAAATCTAAAATATATCTTCTACAAAGATATAAGAAG